ACGTAGCTGTCATCTGCGACGAAGCAGTGATATGAAGACAACATAAAAACCGTTGTAAGGCAGATAACTGTTTTGTAAATTTAAATTAGCAGTTTATACCTTATGCTGACTTTTAGTCCGATGCAAAATTGGTTAAAACGAATTGCGGTAACTCAACATCAGATAACATGGCTGTTTTTTTCGTACGTTCTGAATTGACTACACCATAACACTGTTGTTCATAAACTTCACATATCTACAACATGCTGTTGCTCGTTTTTCGGTTGGTTTTACTGCATCACAATTTTCTGGATATTTTGCTCAAGGCGTTTTGTAATTAATATGAAAATTTACTCGAGCTGAGCGTATTTGCTCGTGCGTGAATCACTGGTGCCTTCAAAGTAAGATTGTCCAAAGATGATAGTACCGTCGCTGTTACCTGCCGACGAAATAGACTAAGCCTTTTATGTTTTATGGTATGCTGTGGTAACTATGCGATGCATGTTTCTAAAATTTATCGTTCCTGCGGAACGAGCATGGCGTCTAGCCGCTTCATTGCCGACAATCCTGGTCTCTGATAAAACACCTTTGACCGGTTGTACCCATGTGCAGTTTGTTGCACACCTTTTCACATATGGTGTAGTGAAGAAGGCGTCTTCAAAATTAAGGTATGGCAAGGTGGCACAATTGGCTCAGAGATCTGTTTGGAACTTCAGAGGTGCGAGGTTCGATTCCGCTTGATGGCAATCTTTGTCTTATTCACGAATTGTCTTTGAGTAAGGAATTTACCACACATTGTTTCAGACCGGGGTTGCTCAGTCGTTGAGCGTCTAACTCAAAACTGATAGATCTTTAGTTCAAGCACCGGTCGAGCTTACCCACCCTCCTTCCTTTAGAGGCTGATAAATGAGTACTTCTCTGTAGGAAAAATTCAGGAAACTGCGCACTGTACTTGTCATATGACTGTAGATTATGCCTTAAAATATGGCACTCCTGGCTGATGGCGTTATGACATGCATCAGTGCCTCACCATCAACTTCATGAAAAGATGTTTGCCAAAATGTCCCTATCATG